CTATCACCCATTACATCAGCATCGAAGACCCCCGCCAATTGGACATGGGAGAAACGTACCCACTGCGGAACATTAATCATCAAAAAGTACACCGTCCTGCTAGCACTTATCTTCTCCACCTTATCGACCCCGCAGTCTTTGCGCAAATTCACAAGCACGATCGTACCCATGGGCACTGACACTGGGAGCAACACCACCATTATCCCGAGCCCCCAGACAGCGAATTGGTCGGTGTAGGACATTAACTGCCCACTGCAGATGTCGCTTTCCGGGCGCTCCGGCACTATTCGCGAGGGCACCCAGGTTGCGAGAAGTAGGAAGAGGGCTAGCACGATGCAACCTACAACGGCGGTGCCTGAGCGACGTTTAAAGCGGGGTTGAGAGACGGCGCGGATGCAAGCTTCAAGGATGAAGGAAAATACCATGTAGGGCGTTATCCATTGCGCTGATGATGGCTCGACAAAATTAGTTATTTTCCTGTCTTATGCACGAGGGGAGAGGGGGAAGTGATAGGTTGTGAAGGAAAGTAGGAAAAACATACCGACCCAAGCAACCTCGGACAAATACCTACAATTCCTAGTAATAGGTCTCCCATCCAATCCTACACCCTCCACAAACGCCAACAATATCCCTTGGACAAGCATGGTCCCGCCAAGCACCAGAGGGAATATCTCAATGGCCGGTATTAAGCCCCTCCCCCCTCCTATCACTTCCTCCCATCCCTCCTCCTTCGCATACTCCCCTCCTTTCTCTCCCCCATCCCGCACTTCCTTCACAGTCACCGCCCCACCACTTTTCCCATGACTACCACCCCACTCCCCAGCCTTCCCCAAACCGCCGGCCCCCGCCTTCCTCCTACTCCGTCGCCGCCTCTTCATATAAGCCCTCCTCGCATCCCAAAGAATCCTGAAAATCATCGATGCCACGCAAACAATGTTGAATGCTGTCATTACTATTGTCACTATTCGCAACTGCGAAGCTTGTAATCTGTCGTTCTCGCCGACAAAGAAGGTAGGTGGAGCAGTTTCTATCGACGTCGATAGCGTGCCAGTGAATATTGGCGCTGTGGAGGTCATTTTTGAAGGATATGTAGGAAAGAGGAAAGAGGAAAGAAAAGAAAATATAATAAAAAGATGGAATGAAATGCAAAATTTTAGGAAATAAATGTTAAAAAGGAACGCCCGGGAGAGGGGAGTATGTACTGTATGACGGGTAAGATGGTATCCAGATAAGGCAGGGCGCGACAGGAACCAACCCAAAAACAACCAAGGAAATGTCTACAAGGTCTACCGACAAAAAATAAGGCGAGAAAAGAAGAGAAAAATAAAGAAATAAAGAAACTAAGAAATCAAGAAATCAAGAAATCAAGTGAAGGTAAAAAAAACAAGGATCCAACAAAAGAAGCAGGAAAGCACGGGGTTTTAGAGCATTCAATAGCGGTCAATGAATATATCCCAAGAGAGCACACATATGTGGACAAGCAACGGTCAGCAAGCCCGCCAGCGCAGGAGATACAGACAGTGAGATACGTCCCGTGCTACGGGAGGAAAACACGGGCAGAAAGTAATAGGAGGCGCACAACTGTAACTTAAGTCGGCATTGACAAGGAATGGTAGTAAATAGGAGTATTTGGGTGTGGGTTGGTTGGTTGGTTATATTGAAAGCTTGCCCGGCAATTCCAGTTACGACACTCGCTTCTAACTCCCATCCCCTCAATCAATGTAACGTTACCCGCGTAGAGAGGTAGAGGAGCAAACCAAACGGTTACAGGATATACGGGGGAAGAGAAGAGGAAACGAAGAGAGATCAGGAATGTTTTGAACGAGTCCAAGGTTTCCCCCACCGGCACTCCCTCTCTCCTCCCATCCCATCCACATATTATGATACTTGACTACCGGTAAATTCTACACACCTACAACTCAAGAGTAGAAACACTGATTACCAACACGTGCACATGTTACCCGTGCACTTCTGCTGGTACCGAACACACTGTTTAAGTGTAGTTTATCATAAAAGAAAGGAAAGAGATCACATCCGCAACTGCACCAGTGGGCGAAGGGAACTGCAGCCGGGCTTTCCAACCTTCCTTCCTTCCTTACCGCTACCATTGCCAGCCTAGTCTTTCGTACTTGCTCATGCATTGGCTTGCTTCAGGGGTTAGTTGTTGCAGCTGTGCCAGTAGTCTAGTGGTACAAGCACTGGACCGTCAACGACTTCCGAAGGAGGTGGGGGTGGGATGGGATGGGGTTGAAGGATGAAAGATGGAGCGGTCGGTGAGACGCTCGAGCCCCGCTGCGTGGATGTGGGAGGTTGTTGAAAACAGGTACAGTGCAAGTACTCGAGTTTTTTTCTCTCTCCTCGCTCCTCCTCCTTCCCACGAGGTGCCAGGACTGGGTGGTCAATCCAGCACGGTACAGTACTCCGAACCAGAGCGCTGGCGAAAACTCAAATATTCGAAACGGGTGCCGCTGTGTAGTTGAGAATTCCCTACTTTGGAAAAGGGGCGAAAAAGACTGCAGAATGAGCTGCTCAGCTCCTGTGAGGAACAAATAACAAAAAAAAACAAAAAAAACACCAGACCCCCCCACCAGAGGAGGCTAGAGGGAACCCTAACGACATACTTACTCGAGTATACAAGTATCATACCATAGCAATCGATTGGATTATTCGAGCCTTCACCATACTCGAGCACAGCTCTGCACTCAAGAACCATACCGGTACTCCCATCTGTGCGGTTCTTGTCCATGGAGGCAAGGGGGTTAAGACCTTGCAACCTACCGCAAGTTGTTGGTGCTCATTCTTGCTAACCTTGCTATCAAAAGGGATTTACAGTAAGTTAATATCGAATTGTACAGTAGAATCGAGCCCGGCAGGACATTACTATTATGCGGCGTGCGGTTGAGGTAATAGCACTACGAAGAAACAGTACAAAAACGGTAACTTGGTCCCACCTGTTAAGTTCCTAATAATCCCATCTTACCTTCCGCTCATGCTTCACCCCCGCGTGATTCCCACCGTGAGTAAATACCGGTATCGCCGACAATCCCGGTACCGGGAGCACACATGCCATACCTTTCTCCTCAATATCATACTAGTCCTGTACTTGTACAGAGTGTAACAGCAAGTTATTGAAAAGGAAAGAAAATAACTACAACACAAATATCGGCACTGTACGAGTACAGTACACGTAGAAAATATCGATATCCGGGCCACTGCCCCCCTCCCCCAAATCAGTAAAAACAGAGGCTAAATGCCGTGACAATGGTTAGTTTAAAAAGGCTTACTCATGGAAGCCCCTAGCATGTGTTATCCCCTGTAAACAGAAAGGACGGGGAGGGAGTTGTGCACTCGAGTACCCGTGCTGTACCAAGGAAGCTTCCTGAAACGTTCTGAGTTTAACGGACGTCCAGGAACCGAAGCAGGCATCACAACACCATGAACTCTACCCCTTGGTTAGAGCAGGCAATACCGTGGCCCACTGTGTAGGAAACGGAAAGGAAGGGGGAGGAAGGGGAGGCAAAAGGAATAACTTTTACTATCATTTCGTAACTCCCGTGTCTTCAGTGCCTCCAGTGCCGGTACAGTGCTGCACAGCAGCCATTTGTGAGTGCCCTTTTTTCTTTCCCATTGTTTTCCTCCTCTCTGCCTCCTACTACGTCTAACAGCGGAGCGGCGAACCCAAACCCCACTCGAACCTCGGGACCAAAAGTTTGTGAACTGTGCTACGGTAGGTTAAAACAGCCATGTTTGATGCACATATGGCGCCGCTCTCCTCCCCACCCTCAGCCGGGATGGGAGGAGGTGAGGACAAACCAGTGTTCGGCATGCCGGATAGAACTTACCTGTATCACGAAACCCACCCGCGGCATCTGGATTTGTGGTTCCTTTCTCCTTTCCCCCTCCTATTTTTCTCCAATGATTCCCTCCCTCTATCGCCTCGTCTGATATTTCCATGATAACGCATCTGATATCAATCCAGGAACCTCCAACACTTCCTCCTGCTTCCGTCAAGGACGGATAACGGTAAGTGTGTCTTGTCGGTCTCACTCCTCCTTCTCTTCCCGTCTCGCGGGTGCTCGGCGTTTCAGAAAAACCCCTTGCAGGGCTAGGGCTGGATATTCCCCATTTGGGACAGCAACATCCGGGACTGTCAACCAACCACTCAAACTTTCTCCGAACCCCCGAAAAAATATTTTTCCCAGAAAACTCTTACCTTCCCTGCCGCTTGTCCATTACAGTACACACCGGTATCACATCATCTCATCGCGCATATACAACCATCGACCGATACCGGTACTGGCACATCCATCACCTAGTCGGAGTGGAGCATGGTATGGGAGATGATATGGGGTGCCTGTGATCGAATAAAAACCCCACGACTCCAATAATCGCATATCGAACAATTTGCCATATCCTACTCCCATAATCCCATATCAGAGCATACTATGGGTTGGCTCGATACGGTGCGTCTATTCCTTCTTCCCTGAAGCCCCCACTATGGGGGAATGTGCGGGAAGAGAAAAAAAATTTATTACCACCGCTCCATGCGAGATAAAATAATTAAATTTTAATAAAATTAATAATACAATAATAATATTATTATTATGCTTACCAACAAAAGAGGGTAACGCTTCGAACCACCGTACTTTCTCCGGAAAAGAATAGCTTTTCATCCAAGCGCGGTAGGTAGGGTGGATGGGCAGGGTTACTGTACTATACGGTGTGATAGCTTAAACCCTCACCGCTCCCCGATACCGTAACTCTACCCATTCCATTACGTTACGGGCTTGTTTTCTAGAAGCGAGCTTATAGTGATTTTCCACCTTACTTGTACTCTCGTGAGGGGACCCTTTTTTTGGTCCAAACTCCGTTCGGTGTCCTTCCGGCGGGTTACGGAAGTGGAAATTTTGATCGTTCGTTTACTTGTTTGCTGGGGGGACGTTGGACATAAAACAGGAAATCAATCAATCAATCATTGCATCATTCATTATTATAGGTTGATGCGGCAATTGTCAACCATCACCTCGAAAGCTCTCGGAAGGAGCAGCAGCAGCAATAGAATCTTGGGTGTCGGAGGAGGTCCCGCCAACTATTCCTATGCTCATAGTGGTCAGATATGGCGGTGGGCGCAACGGCGGTGGCGAGTCCGAGACCCGACGACCACAACTTACCGACGGGGGTTGGGCACTTCACGGGGCCGTCATCTGATACACCCCAAGAGGCAGCTCTTACAAACACGGGCGAAGGGGGAGGATGCAAGGGGAATGCACACTCACGGGGTTGAGCAAGGGGAAATCGGGAATACCATATACGCCCTCGCAACGGCATCTGGGAGGGCGGCTATCGCTGTGGTTAGGGTTTCGGGGCCGGCTTGTTTGAATGTTGGATGAAACTACCCATTCTTTGCTATCACTCGGTTTTTGCTTTCATGATTTTATGTCTGTTCTTCACTGACTGATCGGCGGGCTCATGCCTCCAGGTCTACTCATCCCTCTGTCCCTCCCGCCCACTTCCTACCCCACGCAAGGCTACTCTGAGGACACTGTACCGCCCCAATTCTCCCAAAGAAGTCCTCGACCCAGGCGCTTTGGTGCTCTTCTTTCCAGCACCGAATTCGCACACAGGCGAAGATGTGCTAGAACTCCACCTTCACGGGGGCCCCGCCATAATCCGTGCAGTCCTCTTCTCCATCTCAACGCTATCCACACCCCAGCTTTCCATCCGTCCAGCGGGTCCTGGAGAGTTCACCCGCAGGGCATTCACCAACAACCGGCTCTCGCTACCACAGATAGAAGCACTGGGAGACACTCTCTCGGCAGAAACCGAGCAGCAGCGCAAACTCTCTGTTCAAGCTACCACCTCAGGCCTAAGCCGTAAATATGAGCAATGGCGGCGAATGCTGCTCTCGGCCAGAGGCGAGTTGGAGGCTATAATCGACTTCTCGGAGGACCAGCAGTTCGACACTGCCCCCGCGGAAATGTGCTCCAACGTTGTTTCCCTCGTCCAGGAGCTGAAGCCCATGCTGCAGCTGCATGTGGATAATGCTGTTCGCGGGGAGTTGCTACGCGGTGGGATAAGCCTTGCACTTATTGGTGCTCCGAACGCCGGGAAGAGTTCACTACTGAATAGGGTTGTAGGGAGGGAGGCTGCGATCGTTTCTGGAGAGGCGGGAACGACTAGGGATGTGGTCGACTTGTCGGTAGACATTGGCGGGTACATGGCTCTGCTGGCGGACACGGCTGGCCTTCGGAAGGCAGAGCTCGCAGGGGAAATCGAGAAGGAGGGCATGTGGAGAGCAAAAAAGAGGGTTCAGGACAGCCACGTCGTCATCGCTGTCCTATCAATCGAAACCAGGAACGACAATAACGGCAACAACACTCCGTACCTACCCATACCCGACGAAGTCCTTGAAGTCCTCCGCGAGGCACAAGACCAGTGTAAACCAGTCCTCATCGCGGTAAACAAGACCGACCTTCTCCACCTCCCAACAGGCCAAACACTCCCGGAGCGCTTCCTCAACCAAATAACCCCACATTTCCCAGCCCTCCAGCACACCCACATCCACGGGATAACATGCACGCACCCCTCCCCTTCCGATGGCATTCAACCCCTCCTAAGAACCCTAACCCAAATCTTTACGCAAATCACTACCGCAGAAATAGACAGTGACGCATCCTCCTCTCTCGGAGATGCAATCGGAGCAACAGATCGTCAACGCAGGCTCCTGGAAGAATGTATATCCTATCTGGACGCCTTCCTGGACAGGATCGCGGGGGAGGACTGTGAGACTGACATGGTCGTCGCAGCGGAGGAGCTCCGCTTTGCTGCGGGGTGTCTTGCACAAATTACTGGGATAGGGGAAGGTAGTGGCGATGTGGAAGAGGTCCTCGGGGTCGTTTTCGAGAAGTTTTGTGTTGGCAAGTGAGAGAACATGCTCGCGGGCGGTCATGAGGTATCACTCGGAGACTTTCGGCTTGTGTGGATGAGCTATGAGAGAGGTTGTATATAATAAAGCAGGGTTTACCAGTATGATGTTATATAGGCGAGCAAATGATTGAGCACAGAAGTTAGCTTGTTCAGAACCTACTCTCCTTTATCAGCAAATGCACCTACCCGCTTGCTACCACTCGCAGTAATATTCCCGTGACAGTAACCAACTTGAAGGACCAATCTGGTGAAAGTTTGAAACACCGAGACGCTTTCCACAAAACATAGCCCCAGTCCGAGGCGTTAATTAGAGATTTTACTGTTCCCAATGGTGTAGCAGACCCAAATACAGACCACCTATGCCACTTGTAGCGGAAGTCAAAGGAGAGAGGGTAAATTATTGGTTGTTACATGCGCAAAAGGGAAAGACGGTAGGTGATTTGTGTTATTGGGGGATTGAGTGCTCAGAATCGGGCCGTCAGGAATAATGAAGACATCAGAAACCCAATCCGTGAGTAGCTGTTCGTCCACCCTGACAATAGATTTATCACTCTCGGTTACTAAACATTTTAGCCCCCGATACCCGTGCGTGGCTGCATGCGCCTTCATCTTTGACAAGTGTAGAACTGAAGAGTACTCCGGGTGACATGTGGCTTAAATTATGATAATCTAGTTCAGGGGGTTATGATACGCCGGGATTTCGAGTTGGGTATCATATCATAGCACGAATTCACTTTAGCGATTATCCAATCCCACACCCCCCTAGTAAGAAACCGAGTGCTCCTTGGTGACTGAAACAACTCACCTTGCACTTAGGTCTGCTGACGTCATCCCCGATTCCCCTCACGACCGACTACGATATTCGCCGTCCTGCTAATTAACCCCTAACCCAGAGGCTCACCTATCCACAGCTAATGTCCGACCCTCCCCCGCAGCCCGAACCACCCCGGCCCCCTCGAGTCTGGCTGATAACCTCCGGCTCGAACCCCCTCGGGCACGCAATTGCGCTCGCCGCGCTCCAAGCCGGAGAATCCGTCGCAGCAGGCTGCACGCGCGAGGAAATCCACGCCAACGATGGACCCATACGAGAGCTAAAGTTGAGCGGCGGCGACAGGTTCGCCGTGCTCGAACTGGACACCAGGAATATCGCGCTCTGCCAGAGCGCACTCGCGGAAACGGTGCAGACTTTCCAGAGGGTGGATGTTGTTTTGAATTGCTCTTCTCGCTGTAATTTATCCCCTACCCCGCCACCCCCCTCTCTCTTCTCTCTCGGGGAATTGCGGGGTGCTGATGCGGTGGTGTGGTAGCGTATATTGGGACTTTGGAGGAGTTGCCGCATACCCACATTTTGGCACAGTTCGAAGTGGCCTATTTTGGTCCTGTGAATATGATGCGCTCTGCTGTGCCGTTTTTGAGGAGGCAGAGGGGTGGGCATATTGTGAATGTCACGGGTCTCACGGGACATATGGGGACGCCTGGGCTGTCCGTTAGGTGTGCTGGGGATCATGCGGTTGAGGGGTTTAGTGATGTACGGTCTCATTTCTCTCAACACATCGTAGCGGTGGACTGGGGATAGGAGGGAGTTAACCTGATGGCATGTAAAGGCACTTGCGTACGAGATCGCCCCGTTTAATATCAAGGTTACCATTGTGCAGCCTCCGCTTGAGGTCAAGTATTTCTCCCCTACCCTCCCGACTTGCCCTCCCAACATCAACTGCATTCAATTTTGCTAATAATGTACCGGCAGCGTGCTCTCCTCACGCATCCATCTGACCCCCACCCAGGAAGAGGGCTACACAACCTTTGAGTCGCTTTCTAGAATTGTGAAGGCTGTGCCGCCGCCGAAGGAAGTGCTGGAAGAGACTGTCTCAATAGTCATGCACATCGCAGCATTGGAGAATCCTCCCGGGAGAATTGTTGTCGGCGCTGAAGGGATTGAGCAGGTTAAGGATCGATTGAAGATTGTTAGTGAAGAATTGGAGGAGTTTCTGGGCGCTAGTTTAGGAGCGGATACTCCAAAGGAATAGGGATCGTGAAACATTATTTTCAGCGGGAGCTGATCCTTTTATCATGTTCCGCTTAGTAGTTAGGATCCTGATCTTTGGTATTTCGTTGTGTACTCGAGTATAGAATATACATGTATGAGGGCCAACGCTTGACGGAAATGTAATCCAAAACTAATTTAGTGCTCTGTTTCGCTGTTTTTAACTTATATCTCAACTCGAAATTTCGACGCCTCCATGCCCAGCTTATGATATTAACTCTAAATTGGAGCCGAGGTGAATTACAAGCATAAGTTAATGTATCATAGGGATTACCGGCTCGTCTTATGTCCTAACCTGGGTCCAGAAGATAAAACTTGGGGTGTCCTAACCGTGGGGTCTAGACTCGCGCCCTCGTTGCGTTTATGGAATTACCGTTTTAGGGAACAACGCGAAAACGCGCCCTCTAGCATTTACCAGCCCTCCCCTCTCCTTCGCAACCACCACCCCCTCCCCAATGTCATCCTCCCTTCCCTAAACCCACTACAAGTACTCGTACAGTGCCAACTGTTCACGAGTACCAAAATCAGCGCATCGTTATTACCGCATTCTTCATTTTTACTCGATCCTCTCACAATCCCCATGTACCAGTCCTCCTCCCAACTATCTGTATTATAAACACTTTACGCGAAAGTCTTCAGAATGGACATCTGGACCGGGAGTATCTCTCTCGATTCCACCACTCCACCACTTGAAGGTGCCCTCGATTCTCCCAGTATAAAATACCCTGCCAAAATCTAACGTCCTTGCCAGGCCTTCGACTATCTACACCCTCAACATCTACCCCTCCCCCATCGGTGATCAGTCACCTGACAAAGAGTATCTCCTCATCGACCCTGTCGTTAATATCCCTGATCGATCCGACCCGAATCCCACTCTTCCTTGCTGCGGGTCCTTCATTAGAATTGACGACTACATCTCCAACAACAGAGCTCTACTTCCGTCAATTGTTTCTTTCCAAACTCCCGCTCTCGACCTCCTCATCATGCGCCGAGCAATCCCGCGTAGCGCTCCTAGTGAGCGTGTCTAACCCATCAGAGCGCACTCCAGGGGATTGGCAAATCACCGAATTAGCAATCTACGGAGCCATCAGCCAACCTTCAGCTCTAGAGTTGGACGCCGCAACACCACCGCACTCCTCCCCTCCACTCGAAGATCAAAGCTCCGCCCTAACCACCGTCACCCCCCCCTCCAACCTCCAAAAAATAGTGACCGTCCACGCTCTACCTTTATCTTCTAACCATGCCTTCCCAACATTCCCCCCAAAGATCAAGCAGGAGAAAACCTTCGCGATCCGAGAGGACGCCGCTTCCTTCATAGCGCCAAACCCGCAAGACGTCATCAACCCGTCAACGTCCAGCAAGAAGCGCGGAGCAGACGTCATAGACAGCATAGTCGAAAAACGCAAGCGCGCCAAAGCCCGACAGCAATCCGCCCGAGCCCCTCCCCCACTGACGCTCCTGGGCTCGAGGGCGCTTAACCGCATACCGTCCCTCGAGCCCCGCAGCGCGGGAATCAAGAACGAACGCTCGCCTTCTCCCATTGGATTGAAGCTCCGAAGGTCTTCGGGTGGTGGGACACCAGGAGTGGTACTCGGACCCCTATCAGCATTCAAGCGCGAAGGGACGGAAAGTCGGCCGTCCACCGCTATCAAGAGGGAGGGCAGTGATTACTTTGGCTCCGTGGTGAAACGGGAGGTTAGCGATGTTGAAGGGAGGAATAGGGATGTACTTGCGAAGGTGGTGGTGGCGAGAATGAAGGCGTGCGGGATTAGGGATTATAGGAGCAAATCCGTTATGCCGACCACGGCAGCGATGATGACCCCGGTGTTGGATGAGAGCGAGGAGAAGAGAGAGAAGGAAGAGTACAAGAATATTTATCATCACACGGTTAAGGCGGCGATTTTCGCTCTTGTAGGCCCTCCCCCTCTTCTAAACGTCTTTAATCCGTATGTATGTGCGCTGATCCACTATAATAGAGAAACGATGGCATTTCCAATGCCACTGTAAACTCCGAGAGGATGAAGTTCGTCGTGGACAAACTCCTTGCCGTGTTCTGCCCCGCAGATCACGACACGGATTCCAAAGAGAACTACCTGCAGATTTGTGAGGTTTAGGCGGGATTGCATTGCATTGCATAGGGGCGTTTTTGGCAATTTTGTGGTTCGCCTTCTGTGTCTTTTCTTGAATTCTTGTCCGAGTGTACAGTATGATATGCATACCACGGTTTGTTTGCTTCGTATGGAATGGCATCGTAATTGTTTGGGTGTTGTGTATGTATGTATCATAAGGGTTCTTGTAGTGTAGCTTAGTGTAAAAAGTATCCCACTTCCATTTGTTTTATTTTTGAGGGCATCGTTGGATGTGCACTTAGGCACTCCTCCAACGCAGTGATTAACCAACCCCGAAACGCCACTGCTGTACTAGATCAAGAGGATAAGAGGAATGCCGAGCAAGGTCAGAATTCCACGACTCGGTGCTTGTAAAAAAAAATTTAAGGTGGGATCGGTTTTTAGTTGTGATCTTGTACAAGTAGTCTTGAGATTTCTTATCCTACCGTCCTGTGGGATAATACTGTATACACGCACTGCAAGTAAGCAAAATCTGAGCCGGGGAAGACTTGCAGACCGGCTACGATATTCTCACTGCGACGGGATCTCGCGGAGATAAGACACGATCTATCATATCAGATTCTCCTATGACCCCACAGAATTTATTTACGAGTGATGGGTTGTGATTCCTGAGCGCCAGCTGGGATCGTGGTGTCCGGGTACGATATGATATGATATGCAGAAGCGCACGGAGAAAGGCATTAGCGGTATCATACTGGGCGAGCGGCCGTACGATAGAGGACCCAATTGCCCCCCGGCGCCGGGAGTGTCGGTACTGAAAGACAGCGTCATGATAGGTAGTCGACAAGCTAACCTCTTTCTGCAAGAAATTAGAAGTGATGGGGTGTATACAGAGGGAACCGTCTGGCGATACTAATGCTGGTGGGTGCTACTATACCCACTGGGCTCTCGGTGCTGTCATACCCCTCTAATACAACGTTTAGGGGCAGAGAACGAAAACTCGGATTCCGAACTTTTAGCAGTCGGAATATCATATCGTAATTGGGAGGTTCTTCCTTTTCCATTTCGACTTCCTTCCTGTGGAGTTGCTCCCCTTTAAGTTAAATAAACTTCCTTGGCCTATCTAACAGAGAGCGATGACTGTGGGGGATCATATCGTAGAGCTTGAGTTAGGCAGCGTGTACGGGAATTTGCAAATAACTTATACCTTACCGGCATATATATGTGGGGGGGAGGTCATTTCTTGGAAGAAAAAATAAAAATGAGAAGCAACTCCTCTTCTCTGCTGATCTATCTATCATATCTATACGATTTCCGGTGTGCACCATAACGTCAGCGAGAGACACACACCCCGTTTCTTTCGTATAATATAACGGAGATTTTAAAAGATCGTAGTTAATAAATGAGGGTGAACCACATGGGGAAAAGAAGAAGAAAAAAAGAAAAGAAAAAACTTGGTTTTTTGGAGTTTTCTGGAATGATATGTCTATACCCCTCCGATCTCTCCCGGGGTGCGGGTGTCCAATGATAAATTACTATCATATGATAATATTATCATACAGTGTCATACGTGGGGCGTGAAGACCAGTCATCCCTCACCGACTTGTGTGAGTGTGGCTGCGGGATATATACTCAAGTATGATGTATAAAGACCCCCCCTCCCAAAACAACTTTCTGCTTCTAATCATCAAAGAAACTCCTACCGCCTAACAGTATCATTCGCTATCACTCGCCACCGGTTTTAGTCCTCGGCCGAGAGGGACCGGACAGAAGGGCCCTCTTCTTTTTTTTTTTTTTGTCAGGAAAGAGTTGCTTCTAGGAATCCGTTTTTACCCGATGAGGAGGAAGGGGTTCATTTTTTTAAAACATAGTCTACAGGGTCTCGCCACACACCTAAAGACCGGATCCGGTCTATCTATCATACTGTTATCATACGTCTCTCCCAAATAAAATTCCCCCACCCACCCACAACTTTTCTGTGGAGACGAATGGGACCACCGAGACGAGTGATAATCCATGGAGATGCAAAGTCCGCCCGTCCGTGATGAATAGGTGCTTACGGGGGTTGAGACTTTTTTAGCGCCGAAGGCTTGTTTAATCGCCGCGGTGATTGATTGATTTAAGGTTATCATATCATACCTGTATTTTTTTTTTTTTTTTGGGAGGGGGGCGATCGGCACTCGTTCTAATGTTCATTGCACCTGGGCGCAAAATGTCAGCGTTTCAAGGGGGTTCTTAATCACGAACAGGGGTAACAACTGAAGCCCAATCTTTATACGCCGGAATTCATTCGGTACTTCGGGCCAGCGCCGGAAGCATCTCACCAAGGATATTTACATTTCATCCAAGGCTCGATAAGCGAGCTAAATAACATAATAGAGTGTCTCCCAGGCGCCGGCTGCGTCCGGGTGCATACCCGTTGAGTGGCAAGTGCGGCACGGTTTTGTAGGACCTTAAGCTTGTGAGAAAGCATAAATTTAGAGAGGGGTATAAAGCCCAAGAACTGTTCCCTCAGAAGGAGCATGCAGATTCACTCTCGCCCTGATAACTCATCTCAGTCACAAGTTTCATGATTGACCCGATTTGGGAGACTTGAGGTATGATAACAGAAAAGCTGTTTTTTGGTGCTACAGAATACTGAGCCGCGCGAAACACCTGACAAAGGATGATCAGGTGACATGTTCACGGAGGAAGGGGGGATGCAGAGAAAATGCAGGATTTCTTAGGAATAAAGTAAGGGCTATTGGTAGGGGAAGGATATCCTGAAACTTGGAGCAGAAAGAAAGAAAACAACCAACCCATGACATAAGACACCACCTTGCGAGCCGCTACCAACGCCTAACTCCATCCTTCAAAAATATAGGCTATTGGTACACCGTATCTATTCACTAGCCGGTCCGCTCTGAGCAAGTCCACCTGAAGGCCGTCCTCCCCCCTTCGGATCCGCCACACCGCCCTGCCTCCACCATCCAGAGTTGAACACGGGCGCTGCTGTGGTTCCGCCGGTTTGCTGCGACATCCATACTGTTTTGGACCGAAGGTGGTCAACAAATGATGACTCAGGCGCCGGTATACCGGCATCGCAAAACACTGTGAAACCGACACACGCAACGCAGACAGGGTAGGGGATAAGGTTGTGGTGGCTATGACTCCCTATCAACATACCTGGACTTCAATCTCTCTTAGATTGGTTGCGCCATGCAGATGGACAAGTTGTGCAATCCCGAGAATTGCTTGTTGATCCAACCTCATAATTTCTTCCTCAGCTCCCACAGGTCTTTGTTCTCGGATGCCCAACGATTCCAGGGGCTTCCATGGTGGTTGGGAACACAACCCAAGCTTTTTTAATACAGGTAAAGAGCCAAAAGAACTGATAATTAACTCATCCTAGGAGGAGAAAGAAGTATTGATTAACTTGGGACCAAATAGGGCGTAAATTTGCCGCACAAGCGTAGGTGGGCAAGTGAACATACCAGCTTTGCTCCGCGAGCGACATCCACCCATAATTCTGATATATCCTTGCAATTTCTCCCTAGATTTTCAATATCTTTTGCGTTTAACAATCGCCCTCTTGTCGGCCCAACGATTTGATCTCCTCCAATATGGCTGGGTGTGAGAGGGCCAATGAATGCATCCCACTCGGCCACCCTGAGCACCGTCAACCTCTTATTTTTTCCGATTGCTTTGAGGTCTATTTTAGCACCGAGGTCTGCAAGCTCCAATGACTCCAATCCTCCTGTGGGATGGGATTGGCCAAGTTGGCTGATAAAGGACATAATCTGGGGCATATCGGTTTGTCCAGCAAGCGTCCAAATTGAAAGGTGCTTCAGGTTTTCAATACCAGCAGAAGCGGAGAGCGCCTCCAGAAGAGTGGGTATATCATTGCACCTATCGAACCGGAGCCTTTCCAGCCCGCTGAGGTCAAAGGAACTGCAAAACCGAGTGGCAGCGCCAGCGCTGCCAGTCAAGAATCCCACTGTGACTAGTTCCAATGATTTCAATCTCAAGTTCCAGGGCTTCCCCCGAGGAGTGATGATACTTAAGGAATCTGTGGGTTCAAAGGCTATCCCAAGGGCCTCGAGGGTCTTACAGTTTTCAAGAATATGGTGCAGAATATCAATACTTCCCTCGGGAAGACTGCATCGGAAAGATTTCAAGGTGTGAAGAATAGGTGCAAATAATTCTGGGGGCGATGGAACACTGACAGTTTGAAACCAGGGGAAACACTTTATAGGCCTCGAGATGTGAGTCTCTTTCAAATTTGGACATTTTTTCGCCAGGGTATCAATAGTCTCTCTTGTTGGGGTATCATACGAATGCCAGCGCAGTACCCACAGAGAAGTTGTTTTTTCGAACAGACGAGCGATCGCTGAAAAAACATCTCGAGTTTCATTGACATAGTCCTGTTCGGTGAATATGCCTTGCCCAGATCGGGGCTTGTCGTTATGCACGATGAGCTCCCGCACCATGGATGCTTTTGGGCTTGGATCCTTGGCATCATTTGTGGGCTCAAGAAGGTGTTCGGTCAAAGCAATTGCTTTATTCCCTGCCCGTCTTTTGGCGCGTTCGGTATGATCTCGAACCATGTCCGCAACGTCTGGCAACACTCCGTCGGGAAGCCCCAGAGTGCCATCCCCCTGGAGAATAAAATAGACATGGCTGGGGAGATTATCGGAAGTCCCCAGCGTCGTCTCGGCACGAAGGGTGATGGTGCGGAACAGGATGGGGGTTGTGAGCTCGCAAAAGGCTTTTGAGACCAGACGGCAGGTGGCGATAGAAGACGGGGAAATAACGTAGAGCTGCAGGATAAAAAAATGCGGAAAGGAAATGGGAGAATTGAGTCAGAGATTTTGCGCAACTGAAGTCAGGGAGTGAATGATAAACAAGGTACTCCTGCTCCGTATTTTTGACTTTACCTCTTCTAGAATCAACTTCAACAACTCTGCGGGCATATGAGGCATAACAAACGAGTCCATAATACCAACTCCGGACATGTCAAGCAGCCGAAATCAGAAAAGATCGTAACATTTATCCTCAGATGGACGAGACTGTTATCCTATGATGCCTGCCATGATTCGGTCAGCTCTTGTCCTCATCCCTGACCCATCACGTGACCATTATTGAACGGACCTCTCGAACCTTGAAAAGAAAGTCAATCTGAACCTTCGCGGACCCTCTCCAAGATATGGTACTGCTAGCTAGAACTACCTTCTGTACTCCCGGTACTAGAAAGGCTAGTATGTCACGCTGGTGACTGACCAAGATAGTCCTCCCTGCTCTTTCGTTTCGATATCCAAAGAAAGGACCCAACGGATTCTGGGGTATCGGCGGGTGCGGGTCGTGTTCCCCTCTGGCGAGGGATTTAGACTGGATCTGAAGATGTTTTATTAAAAAGGCCACGGCACTGCCAGCGTGAGTGTTTGCAGAGCAGAAACTCTAAGACTGATGGGGGGACGGCCCCTGAAATAGAATTGGGAATTTTTGAAGCTATTCGAGCTCTGGAGCCTACCTCAAGCAGGTCCTTTAGAAATATGGAAATATCCACGCTGGCCATGGGTGAAAGGTCCCGAACAAGTTGTCCCGCAGAAACGGCCAGTGTGGTGACGTTAGGGATTAGCATCGCACAGCATGTCGTATGCCGGGTGTTCATCCCTAAAAAAATAAAGGAGGAAATGACCAGGAATGGTGTTGAATGTCCAAATCTATGCTTATTTGCCACTTAGTCCGGCTTGTTTTCTTTCTTTCTTTTCCCCTCTTTTCTCGCGTTCGAATGCGTTTCAATACCAGCTTCCTATTAGGTACTCGCGAATCTCACGTTATCACTCGGTGTAACATACAATTTTCTGCCTTCAACATCGGCCACAAAACGATAGAAATATCCGTGGTATTTTTACTATTGCACTTTACTCGAATGCTCGAGTATTATTTTATGGACCGACGAAACCTATTTTACCCAAGCAGCAATGTTTGCCCTGCGTTTCCATTTCGACGTACCTGTACATGGTCCATGGGCACAGGCTCGATCTTGAACAATGAGCTCACGGAAAACTCGGGTCGGGAGGGAATTGGGCTCTAAAAAGTGTTAAGGAACCGGCTATGCCTTTCTCCAAGGGGATTTCCGGAGGGGCAAAGGAAGCCAGGTCGCCCCCCTGGAAATCCTGCGGTGGTACACCAACCATCTACTGAGTGTGGTAAACGGTACTCGTGACTAGCCTCCCGCATGGTTAGGGCTTGATAGGTTTGTATTGTTGGTCCTAATAGGTATCATAGGAGGTGAAATTTTAATCACAAAATCTGGGCCGAAAGACGAGACGAAAAACACTTCTAGCCTAGAATGAAACTGGCCTATCTGTGGGGGTTTCCGAATTCCGGATTGCTTCACCTGGACAAGCTGGCAAGCATATAAAGAGGGTTGCAGGCATGTGAGAGTAATATCTTTCCTCCTATGTTTAAAAATTGCTCTGCAGGAATTATATTGAACAAAAGAAACACCGGACTTTGTTTTATTCCAATACCAACGGACCCCAATCTCATAGGACCGCTACTAAATCAGCCCGTAGCGCCTCCGGGAATTTTGGCCCCCAATGGTTGCTCATATCTTAATCTCGAGCATCACGAATGCCGTGCAAGACTTACCTTTCAAAATACATTTCTGTTCAATAACGCTCTTGGCGGGCTCTCCTCTTGGCAGATCGGGACCCAGATCTTCTTTCCTTTCCTCGCACCTGGACACTCTACTTCATCTCCTGGAAGTTTCTCTTTGTGTTCCTAGCATACTGGCCGGGCCCCGGGACGTGGACACAGGGACTATGGCGCATATGTTACGCATGAGACCAAGCGAGCGAGGGGGGAAGTAAGCAAGCGACCCGAACGTGAATGCCCCCCCTCCCCCACTTCTTGTCCTGCCTTGCCCCCCGGGTGAGCGAGGTGCAATAAGCTGGAACGGAGCAGAGCAAAATAAAAGATCTTCCTAAGTGGCGGCCGCGGGTATAGCTATAGCCATGTGATTGTGCGCGCAATGCGGCCCACGGCTCGAGCAATCCATTGGCCCCCGTCCATCCATCTGCAGTCTGGTAGGGTCCGCACATTCTCCCGTGGTGTCGCGAATGTTGTACGGTATTGCGCTCACAGCTGAGCATCAGATGCGCAACTTTTTATATGGAAGGTGAATCCCTCAACGGCGACCAGAATGAGGGAAAGAAGGGGAACCCCCGTGGGATACCTGAATACTGCAGCATGGGAGCGCACGAAATCATGTCCCCCCCGCCCTCCACGTAAGTCCTCGGGAAAAACTATCCCTCATGAAGCGGTGCTTCCTCCGCTACGACTCTGCGCTCTTCGCCCCTTATTAGGGCTTACGTCGCAATGTGCACTCCCACGTGCATGGTGTTCGGAATAGGGCAGTCCGTCCGGTCCTGGCGGGGGTTTTTCCCCGGGCGTTTGGCCGAATGACGGCGATGACAGGCCCCGCGAGAGCCTGTCGGGCTTTTGGCCAACCCTGATTATACACCCCCCTGCAAGGACCAATATCCACCAGCAGATTATTTCTCACGATGCTAGTAAAGGAGTATCTCTCCGGATATGGTCGTATGCGAAAGGCATATAACACGATTTTTTAACTGGACGTAAGCGCACAAGCACTGTCCCGAAAAGTACAGCGAAAGCCGAAAAAGAAGAGGAGCACTTCGAGCAAGTCCCTCAGCAAAGCACAGGGACAAACGGCCACTCGCTCGGGCAGTGCAGCTATCATACAAGGACTACAAACGATATATCCCACCTCGCTAGGACAGTAAAACACGGTCTGGCCTCCTTAGCAATCTCTTCTTCTTCACGCGCATGCTCGCATATTCACCTGCAACCCCCCGTCCCAATGCCCTGGTCCGGGAAACCCGAACGCGGTATCGCATTTTTCGTGTTCGCGCGACGCAGGGATCGAACGGAGGTTATTATTATTGTTATTATTATTATTATTTTTTCACAACCCGGATGGACTGGGGGGGGGGGCTTTGGAGGGTGGATGTAATGGAGTTGCTTTATAGGGGTTCTATGATATCGTGAAGAAATGGGAGCATGATAGTTAGATGAGGTACAGTACCTCGCTTAAACGAACGGTTTCTTTGGTTCCAGGAAGTTGCGTGCATTATATCACGGTGAAATGAAGTACGATACCAGTAAAACCGCATCATTGCCACACGCAAAGTCACCCCGACAACTACACAGTACGGTACCTACCCCCAACTCGCTGCTGCCGCCAAGATACTGTAACAGTACGAGTACAGTACAAGTACAGTACAGTACTCTTCCAGCACAGTATGACACAACAATCCTCCACGTAACAACACGGGCAACCTACACGTGCTAGAATCACTTTATGCTTAAAAAAACATTACCAGCCAGCACGCATGGTTTTTTTTCTTTCTTTCTTTCCCCCAACAAGTCTTATGTACGATATCATACTCGCGCGGCAGGATAATCACCCCCGAGTTAGACAAAGCGTTAGCGCTAAGCTCCACAATGCTTTCGCTACTTGCTCGTGATTAACCGAAATATCTGGGTTGGCAGAAAGAGGAATGTGCTTGTTATCATGAGGAAAAAAGGTAAGGTAAGGGTATCATATATTATATAGGGGGGGTTCATGAAGAGTCACTCGTGCCGGTGGTTAGGCGTTTTGGAGGTCCTGGAAGGGGTGGAGGAGGGTAATAATGAGACTGGTTGATTGTGTATAGATTGGTGGTTTATGAGAGGGGGTATTTATTTCGTTTGATTGATTTATTGATGATTTTCTGGGTTGGTACTCATGACCTTTTTGGGTGGATCGGGGGTTGGATTTAAGTGTTGTGGGGATTACTCTAGCCTTGTTGTGGAGGAGTGCGTTGTTTTTTGTGGGAAGGTGGTTTGGAAGTATGCCTGCTGTATGTACGATATATATGTAGAGAATACGAGTACAGTACTCGAGTACAAGGTGTGGGTTATGTTAACCTTTTAGCCCCCCAGAGCCCGGATACGGTAGGCTACCTTCCTGGAGTATCAAATATAGTGCGAGTTACAATCCTGGGAAGCCATTATATATATCGCTTCTTGTATTTTCCAGTTCATCCGTACAGTGAAGCCCCAGAGAACTCGAGAATATTGAACTCGAAGCCCCCCCCCCCGGCCCCCTTTATTCAAAACCTACCGAAAAGGGTAAATGTAAAGAATACCGGTAATCCCCTGGAAAGAGGATCGCCGGAAAATCAATAGGCGAGGGAGAAAAAAAACGCCACACTCAAAATTCCTCCTGTTATACTTGTACCTCCCAACTACGATACCGCCCCGATCCCCCAGCGAGCAGTAACACAAGCAATGCAACTCGAATGCTTGCACCCATTCACATTCACATTCACACATTGTGCAATTAAGCATCGCACCGTGGAGTATGACAACGACAAACAACCGGACGAACTCCTCCTCCCCCTTTCGCAACTAGCGAAGCGCAGTCAGTACAGGTACCGCACAGCTGCGCCGAGATCTCGTACCGTAGCCTTTCCCTTGTGGAATTTCCTCCGGAATCGGTGCTCAGGGGAGTTGAGGCCTAACTCACGTCGATAAGTTATCGTAGGTGGGTGGGGTAGGAGGATTGCAGCGCAGGGTACTTGTATCATGCGGGTTCGATTGAAGTACCGATGGAAGTGGATGGGAGTGCTAAAGTTGATTGATTCCCAGGGGGGGGGGGTTGGCTGCCGCAGCGGAGAGAGGGGATAGAGGGGCGGGTATGGGGGAGGTGCAAGCGGTGGGGCTATCTCGTCTCCCGTCCAAGCAATTCGTGGAATACTCGTAAATTACCATACGGACGGTGTTTGCTAAAAGGTGATTATTGTGTTACCGCGGAGTTTCGGCCCGGTATACATCCGCAATCGGTGTTCGCAGCGAGAGGTTCCCCCAGCATAGCATAGCATAGCATGGCATGGCATGGTATGGCATGGCATTGCTTAGGATACTTGGATATCGCATTGCAAAAAATACTTGTAACCCGGTATCTATCTCTTTCTTCCTGTATATTACTTTTTTTCTTCTCCGGCTTCGCGGCATAGGAAAGGTCATGTGAGTCCTCAAGACCCTGCCGTGCCACGGCGTGCTCTGGGTACTAGGATAATAGTAAAAAGAGTTTGTCATACAGTACCTTATCGTACCGGTACAGTGCCGGTATCGTGCACAGTTGAACTACAACGTACTCTACTCTATGCTGCTAGAACTGGGGGTTGACAAAAATGGTGCAACACCATAAGATGAAATCCTGCTCACAAGATCAACATTCAAACTTTTTTAAGTTTTCAAGTTTAATATGAGGGCAGAGATGACTCGCGCGATTGTAACTGTGAGTAAATTTAGCTCAGTGAAGGGGAAAAAACCAAAGGTAGACTATGACAGCGAGGTGATGCTTGATCATTGGTCTTTTGTATAGATATGCGTTGCGACGGTGTTGCACCATTACCCCATTGACCAGCCCCTAGTACTCGTACAGCACAGTACCGTTCAGTATGATACTCCTCATATCCACACGTACCTATTATACATACGCCCGTATGATACGGCATTCCATTCCATTCCATTCCCTTCGACTAAATGAACCTCTTTTTTCTGCCTCACTTGCCCAACCAACATCTAGATTATGTGATAGCGGGAAACGGCATTCTCCCTTTCTCTCCCTTTCTCTTCTGCCCATCTGCCTGGCTTTCCGGGTTGGGCCTTTCT